ATGAACGTAGTATGTCAGCAATATCGTTGAGGTCCGTAATATTTGTTTTCTCCTCTAAGAAGCAGCTTGACGTATACGTCATGTACTACATATGTTATGTAGTAAAATTGTTGTCCTTTTGGTCAGGCTAAAAAATTTTTGTCTTACTAGCAGGTCATATCTTTGCATTCTTCTTGAATGATTATGTCATTAATTTTTGGTAAACCCAAAAAATACCGTACCATTATGGTTTCACAATAATCTAATTCTAAAAATTAAGAGTTTCGTGGTTATTCACTAAATGATTGTTAAGGCACGGACGACACAACTGACCATAGAGCGTGAAACCGCTTCGAAATTAAGGGAGAAAAAAAAATCGTATCGTGGTAAACTTGTGCTAGTGAACTTAGAAATCAATGATTATAACTTAGACAAATACTGAATTTCTCCAAGTACAAAATAAGTTAAAATGTAATTTAATGGGCCAAGTGCAAGGGCGCCTCCAAATTAGACGCTGGTAGAAGTACTGCAGCGGCCGGCAGCCGCGCGTGTTTAGCGCTTCAGTAATTTTTAGTTCACTAAATGTGACTGCAAAAATTATAACTTATTTATTTAAAAAAAAACACCTGAAAAGTTTACTTATCGACTTTTCTATTGGAATAACATGTATTTGCCAAGTTTTATTGGATTCGGTTGACGGAAAGTGCGCGAAACCAGATTCATCGCCGCGTTTGCCACCTTTGGAGGTGTAATATTATCTTCAAATTTAAATGGGATCAATACTGAGGAACTTCTTTTGAACAAAAAAAAGAATCATCAATATCGTTTCACAAACAAAAAAATAAAGGAGTAATCCTGTAACATAAACACACACAAAAAATACAGTGGAATTGAGAACCTCTTTCTTTTTGATGTCGGTTGAAAAAAGGGCGCACGTGTTACTACAGCGCTTCTATAAGCATCTAATTTGAATGCGCCCATCAAAACCAACTTTTACTCTGAATCCCTCGCACATTTTGGTTGTGTAATAAATCTATAATATAATCCCACATAATAATATCTTTAAAACCTAACTTTAGTACAATATCCATTAAATAAGATTATTATAGGCTTTATTAATACGTTCATTGAATCGATATCAGTATCGATTCATTCAGATCGAAATGTAAGTGCAGTATCGATGTCTGGTGATTAATTTCGTAATAATACAAACGCCATAGGGGTTTATTATGTGCTCCAATTTATCATTCGTGCGGTAAACATTTTGCGTGATCTATTACGAACCATCTTTATTACATTATTCATAATCGAAGCCTCCAGCGGAAAGGATGTAATGACTAGTTGTCACTTATTTTACAATTTTTTTTTTTTTAAATTTTAAGATAAAAATTTAGTTCCATAGAAATATCGTTAACTTGTTATATTAATAATTAGAGTTTAATGGTTTTAAAAAATATATGATATAGATTCCTTGTGCTGCTCTAGTAGATATATATCGACTCATCTGAAGAACAAAGTCCGATGTGATTATACAACGAAAAGAGAATAAATACATAATCTCGTTATTTAAAATAAGGCCTAGCTATAGGTGTTTTCAGAATTTTACGTATTATTTCGTTTGGGAAATGTAAAATAGATCAACGGTGGATCTAATATCCATAGCTAAGAACAGCGAACGAAATTTACAATGTCCTGAGAATAAGCAGTCTTGCACATAGGTCTTTGTTCTACGGATGAGTCGATGTATAAAAATATGTATAATCGGCAGAGACTTGAAATTTCGGACGTACGTTTTTAACAGTCTGTACAAAATAAACTTACCGACTTTAAAAAACGTATCACAAACAATAAGAACAAATACAAAAATATGCTATTGACCAATAGGCCTGTGTATCTACACTACATTATTTAGTAATTAGCGTAGTGTACTAAAGGTTGTTTCAATTTCACTTGAAATGAATATCTCGAAAATAAAATAAAAATAATGATACAAAAGCAAGTGAATAAGCCCCTGTGAATTCTTTTGTTCATGACAAAAGAAAAACCGCCCGTGTCTGATGTGAATTGAATCGATTTTTGCATACATTAAACGAGTAGTGACTGACGATATATCTGATGGAAAATAATAACCGGCGCCTAACTTAATAAGCTGAATCAACTTTAAATAGTGTTATTTCTTATTAATAATATCCAACCTAAATAGTAATAGCATAGTAGCTCCAACATACCGATGGCTTTTCAAAATGGCGGTGTATCTCAAAATTCATCGGAAATATTAAAAAAAATGCATAAGCACTAACTAACTAACACTCAGCTGGTCAAGAGGCAATGACGCAGCAGACGAACTGGCCAGAAAAAGGTCTGAGACAGACGCTGCCTACAGCGTGTCTGGTCCTAACCAGAACCCATAGTGTCCCTCCCCTATCAATGGTCAGAAGCAACTATACAAAACGGTACACAAACTTGTCATAACAACTTGTGACTGACCCTAACGGTTTGTAGACATGCTAGGTAAGCACTACGGTCAACGGCAGTCTATCCTGAAAATTTCTTTAACTTAAAACGCCACTCTAACCGCCAGCTTAAGGGGTCATCGTCCATAAACACCTTTTCAATTTAGGTATCACGGACAGCCCTTTATGCAGAGCGTGCATGGAGGGGGAGGGTTTCCTATTCGGTTCGCGCATACCCTTCTACAATGCTCCGGCGTGGCCAACTACAAAACGAAATAGCCGAGGTCGCTCTCCGTCTTAGTAGGACCACGAGGATGAGATTCCTAGAGAAGCTTGTGTAGCCCGAAGACCCTACACCCAACACACACAACATTGGTACCAGACGTCGAGCTGTGACACTGGCTCACTGGCTCGTTACACCTGCACGTGTATGGGTGTGACGACCACCGTACCATATAACTGACGCGTAAAGCCGACGAATTTCGGCCCAATTTCATCACATGATTATTTTAACCAAAAACTCAATGTATTATTCGAAATAAAATTTAGCACAGTCTGAATACAATTGTGTAATAAGATTTTGGTTTGAGCCACAATTCTTGAAAAGCAGCGAAGGAAAGGGTTTGTACACAGGACGGAACAGGATTTGTACTTTCAACTGTCAAGCCCGTTGTCAGCCAGTGAACTATAACATGAACATCGACTACAATTGAACACAGCTCAGCGGGCGTCAAAACAGGGTTACAACAATTAGCATTTGCTTTGACTCTTAAGACAGTCCACAATCGAAGGGTGTACAGTGAACTTTAGTGGATAAAACCCTACAATTGAACTGGATTTAAATTTGAAATGTTTAAAGGTTAACCTCAATGTTATTAGTATAAATTAAAAGACTGATTTGTATAAGTTGCCTTAGTAATTGGTAATCATCTGTTGGATTTAATGAGTAAAATATTATAGATTATAGTCTTTAAATATCTTGTTTTATTTTAAATATCATATTACTTTAAAATGTATCAAGACGCTACGCTTAATACATCACACAATGCTAAAAAACTTCACCATGTTTATGCATGTAGATAAGTATAAAAGATAACGGTCGGGATATACCCATCAACTTATGTCGCCTACGGTTTAATCTTAATGCCGATTATTTAGAAAAGGCTGGATGGATTTTTTTATGTTTAATATAGATCTAAATATTTAAAAAAACTTAAATTGAATAAAATTTAATTATAGTTGGAGCTCCAAAAAAGTTACGTAAGAAAAATTACTACATTTAGCACAGAATTAGTAAATAAAGAATATTTCGATAATAAGATCAAAATCATCACTTTCATCGTCGCTCAATCTCGAACACTTTCACGGAATCGTGCGTAAAACGATTTCCGATTAAAGCGATTACCGACGTCGATTGCCGACAACGGTAACGTCCGACTTGTAATTGATTTGGAATCATTTCGACTGACAAAAACACCGTTTCCAAGGTTAAAGAGGTTTGGGCACCCTCTTTACTGGAATTTCACCCCGATCGGTGAATTTTGGCATCATTATCGACCCACATATCGCACCCCTCTATTCTATCATGGAAGAATGGCATGAGTGTAGTTACGTCAACAACGTTTGTTGCTCCATTAGATACTGAAAAACATAACGCACATTCTATCTAATTCTTGTAACTCTATCGATTAATATTGTAGACATATTTTCAAGAATAGGAGAGCATGTAGGTTATATTTTTCTGTACCTATTTCATTATTGAGCACTAACCCGCTCTGAGGAGAGTGTAGACTAATGTTGAAATAATTAAAAATTATGTTTATTTATTTAAATTTAAAATAGAAATGCGAAAATAATTATTTTGATATTAAATAAAACTTTTATTTAATATTTAAGGATGCACTGCGAATTTAGAGGACGTTGATATAGATAACTCCAAAAAAACACCGAAGAAATATTTTAAATACATACTTTATATTCTTTATTGTGCATACTTATTTACTTTCAACGAAAGTTCTCATTAAATTATTTAATATTTATTAATTTAATTAATTTGTATAGAGTATAATTATTAAATTTAATTTGTATAGAGTATAAACTAAACGATAACCACCAACGCGTGTCTGGTCTACTCATTTACGTGTCTCGTCTACTTTTTTAATTTTCACATAAAAATTAAAATAGCTTTACGACTTTATCCACCTCCATAAACTGCGTTAATCATGCAATATACATTAATTTCCTGTGACATAGTGATTTTAATGTTTTTCTTTATTACTTATTTAAAAAAATATAGTTATTGTTTATTATTACGCGCCATTGCATTTTCTTAATGACGTGATTACTTAGAAAGTTTCAGTTGCAGTTCTTTCAAACTGAAAAGATCTCTCTTTAGTAAATTAATTTTGGCTTATTTTTTATTTAGAAATTTCTATACAAATAAATTGCCTTATATGTATTTGGGGGTAGTGTAAATTTATGAAATTTTCAAATATTTAATTAGGCATTGAATAAAATCAATCTTAGAGATAGGACGGAAATGTCTTCTTTTCTTGAAAAAAAACTTACCGTAAAAAGAAACAATCTCGTAATGACACTAGAAAGTAAAAGATTCGTCACAAATTTTCGTTTCGCAGTTCGAATCACTACATTTAATTTCACGTTGAATTTTTAAAATATATTTTCGCGTGAGTGTGACGGCGCAACACGGGCGGATATGCGCGCGCGCACGTTCTCGTGATCGATACGCGAGTGGCGCGCGCTGAGTGCTATCCTCGCGTTTATACGCCTCGAGAAACCCGGGTACACTTTCGCCGTGATCTCGTGCAAGGGAGGCTACCTGAAGGGTGCACATAGACCTTGAACAGGATTGTTGCTATGGACTTGTATTATTTCGCATGTTTATTTTTCTTGAATAGATTACTTTGCTTGTTCATTCTGTGTTCTCCATCAAATTTACTGAATCAAGAAGAATTATTGTTATTATTATGTAGGAGATTAGTAAATACTTTTATTTGATTTGATTAAGGACGTTTTACGTTTGGGAAGGAGCCGGTAAAGTTTTTTTAACAAAGAAAAGGCAACATCTATTAAGATTTATAATTACGATAAAGGGTTAAGTACAAGTGTAAAAGGTTAATCCAACATAAGTGATTCTTAATCCAGTATTAAGTATCACTTTAGTCGGGTTAAGTAAATTATAATAACATATTTATTCAAATATACACCATCAACTTAACACAAAACAATCTTAGAAAATATTACACGTACGTTCACCATACCAGGTGCCAAGTCGCTACAGGCGTACACAGCACTAAAACTTTAGTGTTAATCAATGAAATACCAAAAAAAAAACATAATCAAAAATGTAAAAGTACAGTCATAATCATAATTATAAGGTATGTAAGAATCAAAACAATTGCTTGCACATTTGAATAAACTGCATATGAAATATGTCTAATTCACTGTCTATGGTCACAGTCAAGACATTGACTGTATAAGTCCGTTCAAGGAGCACACTTTCCGAGATTAGTTCGGCTACTAGATGAAACAAATGTTTTGGCAATGAGGAACGTATGCAGTCTACAAGGAACTTTTAAGTTAATGTACGAGAATTCGGCTTTTTTTCCAATAATACTAACAGACGGGACGAATAAGTCGGACGCCTGATGGTAAGCTACCCGTCTATCCATGACAAGTTAAAGATGTTACTATTATTATTTGATGTTTTTTGTCTGATATCAAGCGACAAGCCTGTCCATAACAGATGCAGTCCCACTCAGAACTTTAATTCGCAAAGATTGAGGGGCACAGCCGCTGCACCTATCACCCAGAGACATAAGTTGACAAGCCCCATGTGCCTGTAATTTCATCAGCACCCTTACCCTTCAAAACCGGAACACAGTAATGCTGACATTACTGCTTGGCGGCAGAAATAGGTAAGGTAGCAGTACTACCCTGGATGAACTCTTTCACAAGGAGCTCTACGGCTTCATGGTCATGTCAATACTAATGAATGGCCACAAAAAAAATATTGCTTGTGATAATTATAACATTGCTTAATAAATGTGTATATTTTGATTTTAAAACGTGTTCTTCTCTTGACTGTACTTACATTACAAATACAGTGAGGGGATCCGTTGGGAGTAGCATAACATAGAGGGGATCATTTCGGACTTAAAATTGGCGGTGGATCAGTTGTAGGGGATCGGATGGGAATCACCCACAAGCTTGTTATCATTATTGGTACAAAGATCAAACAAACACAAAGAAAAATTTAATATGGAAAAAGACGTTTAAACCCAATACAAAGATCCGCAATTCGATTCGGTTCGATTCGTACCACAGTTGGCACAGCGGTAGCCATGTTGAGGCGATGACTCTGGTTCAAGTCCAGCCGGATCGAAGGAAGTTTTCTATGTCTTTGCTCGATCTCTATACCAATAAAAATAGTAACAACGACGGGTAAACCAAAGTATGTCTGTAATGGTTTTGATGAAAATTCTCCACACTGCAAAAAGCAATACTTTATTTCAAATAAGCACGACGTCTTCAAATATTAAAATTAAAACATTTTCAAATCAAATCTCAGATCTTTGCAATTTAAAGCATTGAGTGGCATTGCAAGTGTTATGGCTAGGCGTAGTGTTGTTAAAAACCGGTTTTTTTTTTCTGAGGTAAAAAAACAATAAAAAAAACATCAAAAGAAACCGTTTTTTTCTGGAGTAACAGTAGTAACACTAGTAACACCAAAAATTAAGATTAAATTTTTGTTATAATTATCATGGTAATTGATTTTAATAAACTATAAAAAAAAATCTAATAAAAAATATTCTAAAAATATTTTAATAAATTTACATGTTTATTAAATAAAATAATCTTCAAACAAAAATTAGTGTCTTATTTTATTTCAGTTATTCCGTTCTATTTTTTCTGAAAAAAAAAGCAAATTTAGGAAAAGGGCGCTGTGTTTTTTTCATGTTTTTTTCAAAAATGTAACAAAATTGTTTTTTTATTCAAGTTACAACACTAGATAGGCGTATTGCAGTTTGAGGTATTTCCTATCTGTTAGTTAAATAATATTTCTCCCTCTTTCACCCTTACACGCTGTTGCCTGCTTACGACTTTTGCTCTCATTGCCTTGCATGGAAATAACCGGCATGGAATACATGGAATGCATGGAATACAAAATTATCAGAAGTTATTACTTACTTATTCCCAGCCACATCCTTAACGCAGGTTTGTTGTAGCAATAATCCCTTAATACATGGCCAATTTGTTGAGTTCCCATGGAAAAAGGTAATCAAAGCCAATAGATTTATATTACTATACTGTACTTTTATAGTCTCTACATCCTGAACTATTTAAAATAAGAAATGCTTGATATCTAGACTTAAGCTGTTTAAATTCCTTATTTACATAAAACTTTAGAAAACTGATATTAGGGGTTAAAGTATGAAATTGCCGTTTTATTGCAATGGGTTCTTTGAGTTTTCATAGAATCTTCATGGTTTGAGGTTTTCGAATGAAACTTTTTTCAAATGGTTTCTGTGATTTTTTTTTTTTTTATTTGAAACATTTGAATATCGACTTTCAATTGTTTTTGTTATTCAATTTAGACAAGAAAGATGGATACTGCGAAAATTCGAGTGATTTTTGAATACGAGTTCCGACGCGGAACTAACGCGGCAGAAACAGCCCGCAATATCAATGCTGCGTTTGGAGAGGGGTCTACTAATGAACGCACCGTGCGATTTTGGTTTAAACGCTTTCGTGATGGAAATTTCGACTTAAAGAACGAGTCACGAGGAAGACCGCCCACACAGGTGAATAACGATGAATTAAGAGAGATAGTGGAAGCCGATCCTAGTCAAACTACCCAGGAATTAGCGGCATGGTTTAACGTTACCTTACCCACAATATTGACTCACTTGCGTCAAATCAATAAAATAAAAAAATACGAAAAATGGGTGCCTCATGATTTGACTGATCTGCAGAAAGAAACGCGTGTTGAAACTTGTGTTGCCTTGTTGAACCGGTACAGAAATGAAGGAATATTGGATCGAATTGTAACATATGATGAAAAGTGGATTCTTTATGATAACCGGAAAAGAAAAATGCAATGGCTGACCCCAGGTCAAATGCCACAACAGTGTCCTAAAGCAAAACTTACCAATAAAAAGGTAATGGTAACTGTTTGGTGGTCTCAGCATGGTGTTATTCATTATAGTTTTCTCCGATCTGGTCAAGCAATAACGGCAGATGTCTATTGTGCCGAACTCCGAACCATGTTGACAAAACTAGCAGTAAAACAGCCCCGACTCATGAATCGATCTTCACCATTATTGCTCCACGACAACGCGAGACCTCACACAGCACGAGAAACCATTTTGACCCTTCAGGAACTGCAGTTAAAAACCATTCGTCATCCTCCGTATTCACCAGACCTTGCTCCAACGGACTACCATTTTTTTCGTGATTTGGACAATTATCTACGTGACAAGAAGTTTTCTTCCCAGGAGGCAGTACAAAATGCTTTCACACAGTTTGTGCAGTCTAGATCGTCGGAGTTCTATCGCAAAGGCATTAATAACCTTCCCATTAGATGGCAGCAATGTATAGATAATAATGGCAACTATTTTGATTAAATAAATTTGTTAAAAATTTAAAAAATAAACAATTTAGATTTTCAGTACAAATCGGCAATTTCATACTTTAACCCCTATTGTTTATCAAGATATAAATGGGGAATTTTTAATTTCTAAAATTGGAGAATTTTGCCAATTTTTTTTCCAGTTTCACATTTGTTTATAATTTTTATTTTGTTCATGGCCCCTCATGTGCTATTTTGAGAGGTATGTAAATTTGTTGTTTCTGGTCCTAAGTTGTGGTCTGTCTGATGTCATAAAAGAATGCTGTGTTTCCCAGTTACTGCGATATATACCACATTAAGATAGATATTAAATATTGTATTGAATATCGTATATGTTCTATTGGGATACCAAGTAAATAAATAAAAATTTTCCCTAGCCCGGAAAGGCTTTCTTTCTTATTAGGAATCTGCGTGCAAAAGCGTTGTCTCCACGCTTGCGTGGAAAATGTTTTTGAAATTCGAACTTGACGATATGGACTCTGATGCACCTTTCTTATCTTCTTTCTTATCTTTTTTTTCGATGAAAAAAAAAACTTATTTGTTATAGCTCAACTGTTTTTCTTTCATGTATCATTTTGCTTATTATAGAGAGGTAAAACGTTGTATATATCGCTTGGCAGCAAAGTTGTTTAGCATCTCGTGCCTCAGGTTTCAATACAAACACTCGGGTCAAACAAAAACTTTGCAGCCTTGCATAATAAACATTTATTAATCCTTTACACACGAGACTTTAATATCTGTCCATAAATTTTCTACGATACAGATCCTTGTACAGGGTAAAAAGCAAGCCAAACTACATTGAAGATTTAAATTCAACTCTAGAAAGCTTTTCTTTTTTTATGCAAAGTGACGAGATGAACAAGCGGTGTTCCTGGTGTTAAGCGACGCGCCTGTCTATAGCAGTTACAGTACCTCTCAGAGCTTTAAATTGCAAAAATCTGAAAGACACTGCCACTGCACCTATCACCTTGAAACGTAAAAGTCCCACATGCCTGTAATTTCACCAGCACCCTTATGCTCAGGCTACACAGAGGCGGCCGCGGAAGCGTTCCGGGCGCGAGAAGTTTAGTGATTTACGAGTTTATA